GTGCCTGTGGAGGCCAGAAGAGGGCATTGGATCCCCTGGAGCTGGAGTTCCAGGTGCTTATGAGCTGCCCATTCTGGGTCATGGGTCCTCTGAAAAAACAGCAAGTTCTCTTAACTGCTGAGCCTTCTCTCTAGCCACAAGTACCCATTTTGTGGACCAGAAAACTGAGGTTGTAAGAGGCAAGTGTCTTCCTGGCCTTCAATCCCTCTTCTTTCCCAAGAGCTCTCTAAGGCCCTTCCATCTTGTGTGTGTGTATGTGTGTGTGTGTGTGTGTGTGAGAGAGAGAGAGAGAGAGAGAAAGAGAGAGAGAGAGAGAGAGAGAGAGAGAGAGAGAGAGAGAGAGAGAGAGAGAGAGAGAGAGAGAGAGAGATCTAAACTGCCCTTCAAGTTTGGGGACAGGTAGACAGTAGCTTGGGTGCCACAATTTTGAGAGTACCGGGGCCAGTGATATGGAAAGGATAGGTGACGGAAGACTGATTTTGACGTTCCAATCCAGTGGTGATTTCCTGGGGCCTTCGCTCCCAGTGTGTTCACTTGAAACTTCTCCCAAGTTCTGCCAGGAGTGAGGGCGGGAGGAGTGGAATCCTCCTGGGGCCGAGGCTGCCGCTCAGCTCGCCATGCAGCCTGACAAATCAAGTGACTAAAATCCATTAATTAGCAGTTTTGGAAACAGTTGCAAAGTTAATTATTCCGTTTTCTGATGAAAGAAAGCTAATTTTTGGCATTTACCCTGACAGTGACATGAACTAACATTTTTCGAGTTGACATCCCTCAAGATAAATGATGCCAGGAGGCGTCTGTGCAAACATCCTGACCCGCAGCTTGTTGTGAGTCTTGCTTGTTCCCGGTGCCTTCGCCACACTGCTTGGCCTGGTGAGTTTGTGGATGTGTGGGAGAACCAAGTAAAGGGGAGGAGGAGAAGGGTGATGAAGAAGAGAGTCGGTAGTGGAGGGACTGTTCGATTAGTCAGGTTTTGCTTTGACTGGGAGAGCAGGGATGGCATTAGTATGACTGTCCTTCCGTAGGAGGCTCACACCTAGGGGAGGGTTCTGATTTTTTTCCAGAGCTTGCTTCCATATTGAGATCTCTGCCATCGACTTTGCTTTTGTATACAAGCCCTGCACATCCAATGGCCTGCTTGACATCTCGAGGGCATCTCAAATTTGGCACGTCCCAAAGGAAGCCAGAGTTCTCTTGCCAATGTTTACTTCCCCCAAGTTTTCCCCGTTCTTGGACATGGCACCAACATCTATTCAAGGGCTCAAGGCAGAACCCAGTCCAAAGCCTGAACCCAGACCCTCTGTGATTTTCCTTCTCTTCATGGACTTCCCACAGCCAGTCTGCCAGCAAGGTCTGCCGAGGCCGCCCCCAAAGCAGCTCCAAAATGTAGCTCAGGTATCTGCTACCTTCGTATTTCCCACTGCTGCCCTTGTTGAAGCATCCTCATTCCTTCCAACCGGGCTGTCCCATGGAAATATAACACATCCCACCCATGAAAATGTCAACATTTTCTTGGCACTGCGTTGAAAAAGCAAAACAATACAAAATAGGTGATTGTGATTTGTGTATATGTGGTGTGTGAGTATGTGTGTGTGCACACATGCACGAATGTAGCAGCATATATGGATGAATATGTGTGTGGTGTGTATATGTGGGATGTGTGTGTGTAGTATGTGTGTGTGTGGTATGTAGGTGGCATGTATGTAGTGGTATATATATATATATATATATATATACATATATATGTGTGTGCATATGTATATAGTTTCTGTATATGTAAATGTGTGTGTGGCATGTGTGTGTAGCATATATATATATAGTGTGTGTGTGTGTGTAGGTGGTGTATATGTGGTGGCATGTATATATGTGTATGTGTGTATGTTGTGTGTATACATGGTGTGTATGAGGTAGTGTATGTGTATATAGTGTGTATGTGGTGGTTTGTGTGTGGTATGTGTGTGCATATGTGTATAGGTGGTGTGTGTATGTATGTATATGATGTGCACATGTAGGTATATGTGTAGGTGTGTATGTGGTATGTGTATGTATGTGTGACATGTGTGTATATGATGTGTGCATGCACGGATGTGGTATGGTGTGTGTGTGTGTGTTTGTGTGTGTGGAGAGAGGCTAGAGGATGTAGTGATATATCCACCCCATGCCCAAATGGTGAGGACGTGAGGGAGAGTGGGTTTTAGGTCTGTGGTCAGGACAGGTGGCTCTCTCTTGCTTCCGGTCGGGTCACAGGGGGCAGCCTTGGTGAATCCTTGGAGCTGGAACTTGTGTCGGTCACCAGCTTCTTGTGAAAGTGCATTCTCCCCAATAAAGTTACACTAACCTATTTTGAGACTAGTCCCGTGTATCTTGATCCGTGCATCCACAAGAGGACAATCTCCAGTGTCCATTCACCCGGGGTGGTGCCAGGTGTTACACACTCTTTTTGAATGGTCTCTCATTGGCCTGGAACTCACCAAGCAGGCTAGGTTGGTTGGCCAGCGAGTCCCAGAGATCCACCTGCCTCTGCTCCCCGCCATTAGCATATCATGATGCCTGGCTTTCATTTCAACCACAGGTCCTTATGCTTGGGAGGCCGCATTTTACTAACTGAGGCATCCTCTAAGCCCCATAATTTTAATACTCTATTTTAGCCAACTCATTACATTCAAACTACTGACATATTAGCATAATCAGTACAAAACAGTATTGAGACACTTTACATTCTTCTCTTAAAGATGTGTGTGTAGGTAGTGTGTGTGTATGAGGTAGGTGTCTGTATATTTGAGGGGGTGTGTGGGGGGAGGGTGAATATGTAGTGTGTAGATCTTCCAAATACAGCACACATTTTACACTTACTTTATAATTTCAGTGGGGTTGCAAAATCTTCATCTTAAACACTTGATTTGTATTTAGGTTTTATAAACTTGACAGTTGGAATCGCATCCTTAAGTTATTCTAAACTTACTGAAAGTTCAAATAGCTGAATCAAGTAGTGTTTGAGTGTAAGTGTAATCAATTGAAAATGCAGAAGATGTCTAAGTGTGGCTTGGGAAGTTGTGCCTGAAAATGCAGTTCAAAATGATTCCTTTCCTATTCCTGTCCACTTCTCTATAAGCTTTGAGGGGGGTAGGGTGGGGGCTGGGAGGGACAGAGAGTTAGACACACACACACACACACACACACACACACACAGAGAGAGAGAGAGAGAGAGAGAGAGAGCGAGAGAGAGAGAGAGAGAGAGAGAGAGCGAGAGAGAGAGAGAGAGAGAGAGAGAGCGAGAGAGAGAGAGAGAGAGAGAGAGAGCGAGAGAGAGAGAGAGAGAGAGAGAGAGAGAGAGAGAGAGAGGACAGAGGGAGACAGAGGGAGACAGAGGGAGAAAGGAGGGAGGAGAATATGTAAATGGATCATGACATGTCCACAGTCCTAGGGTTGAAATAGAAAGTTGGGTCTGAGGCCATAGCTGGTTGGTAGAGTGCCTAGCACGCAGCAAGTCCTCTATCCCCAGCACCTGGGGAATTCAGTTTGGCGATACAGGGCTGTAATTCCAGTACTTGAGAGGTGGAGGCAGGAGGATTAGGAGTTCAAGGTCACCCTTGGCTACATAAAAGTAGCTAGCCTGGGCTACATGAGACCTTGTCTCAAAATATGCCCCATCACCCCACTCCATCCAAAAGACAGAGAGAGAGAGAGAGCACCACACAAAACCAACCAACCAACCAACCCAACCAACCAACCAACCAACCAACTAAACAAACAAACCAAAAGAAGAAACATGAACTCTCAATGGGGGCTCCAGGTTCTTGCCCAGCCTGCCTTCTGCTTGCCTCCCTCTTCCACCCACCTCATGCTTCTCTCCCTATATTCATTTTGTCCAGTAACTGTAGATACAGGCTTGTCTTCATTTCTTCTTGCATGTTCCTGATGTTGTAGAAGTGTGGCTGCAAAGGATGGTATGGAACGGGTGTTGGGGTGCCTCTCAGGTGCCTCAGGTGCTCCTGGAGGTCAAAAGAGCCCCTGGGAGTAGAGGGGTGGAGCTATGGAGGGGAGAACCAGGCTCAGCTTACCCCTCTGAGGCTTCCTCTCTCTGGAGAACTGAGCTGGGATCAAGTGCTCTGAGTAACATCCCTCTTAACACAGGCAAATTAATTGGAAACAGATGTCAAGCAGTGGGAGTTAAATACAGACATCTCACCAAATGTCAGCCCTTCCCCTGGGCCACAATGGAGTCCTCCATTCTCATCCTCACCAGAGAATTGGGAACAAGCCTCCTACACATGCTGGTGGCATGGCTTGACCCTGAGGGTCCTTTAACTTTTTGCAAAATCTCAAGCCAAATGACAGCTCCAAAAAATCAGAACCGACTAGGGGTGTTCATTTGTATTAAACAAGCTGCTCTCTCAAACGAACCAGCTCTAGATTGTTTGAGAGTTTTGATTTTCTTTCTTGAGACAGGGTCTAATCATTTAGCCCAGGTTGGCTTCAGATTTACTATGTAGTTAAGGATGGACTTGAACTTCAATTCTCCTGCCTCTAACTCCTTAATGCTAGGGTTACACCATGTACCACACCTGGCTTATGAAGTGCTGGGGATGAAACCCAGAGTCCCCTGCATGCTGGGCAAGCACTTTATTGCCTCCACTCCACCCCAGATCCAAATGGACCAACTCTTATGTAGCTACAGAAGTCTTGGGTTGTAAGAATGGGTAAGTTGCATCTTAGCTTTTAACTTCAAAGGGTAAAACTGAGGCCTATGGGAGATATTTTCCAAGACCACTCACCAGGTTAGTGTCTCAGTTAAGTCAGTGATTATATTTGCCTTGGAGTGAACTGGAACTCCTACATAGGCTAGAAGGTCTTTTACCCCTTGCCCTCTGCCCTCTTACGTCAGTCTCATCTCTTGAGATTTCCTGGAGCAAGAGACTCTCTTGTATTCCTGAATTATATCACTCTAACACTTTTGTCTGAGCTGTTTCTTTTGTCTCCACGTCTGTCTAATAAACTCCTGTTCATTGTACTCAAGTATACCACCTCCCCGGAGAAAGTCCCCTTGACTCCAAGGTCAAGAGCTTCCCTTGATCCTTTCTTCTGGGCTCCTCTAGCCACTGTGTTGTTTGTATATTTCTCTGTTCTTTCCTTGATGCTCCATGCTCTTGTGTGTTAGTATACTTTTACTTCCCCAGTGTTTGATGCAGTCTGACCCATAGTAGATTTTACACGAGTTTCTATGAGTTTGATGTCACCAAAGCCAAGGGACACCTAGCTTTGCCTTTTTAGCGTCTCTGTAGCATCGGATGCCCCTGAGCTCTGTGATATGCTGTTTCTCTTTCTTAGCACCTGTGGCTCCTTCCTGAATATTTCTCCCTCCTCTCTGTGCTGCTTCATGTCTGCATTAGCTGCTTTTTGCTGCTATCACTTGGGGCTTGGTAGCTTTCTAAAGTAAAGAGTTTTGCTTAGCTCTCAGTTCTGGAGATTGACAGGATGGTGCCAGCATCCTCTTGGCTCTGGTGAGGACTTTATGGCATTGAGCCAGGAGCCTGTGTGTGAGAAGGAATAGATCACATCACAAAGCAGCAAGACAGAGTGATGGAGGGGTTAGGCTTTTCCTTTAACGTTTTTGTTTAATGTTTGTGTGTATGAAGCATGTGCCCCTATGTATGTACATAGCACACTTATGGAAGTCAGGGGATAATCTCACATGTCCTCAGTCTCCACCTTTTGCTTGAGACAAGGTTTCTCATTGGCCTGGAAGTTCTCAAGGTAGGCCAGGCTAGCCCAGAGCTTCTAGGGACCGACCTGTCTCCACTTCTTTTCTGAGCTGAGGTGTCCTTTCTCTGGGACACCCTCCCTTCATTTCTGACCCAGTCCGTTTCTCTTTA